TTCTTCTTTTAGGTTTTGGATCATCCGTTTCATCATCTTTTTCTTCTTTTTTTTCTTTTCTCTCATCTTTTTTGCTTTTTTTGTCCTTTTTGTCCTCTCTCTCTGGGAGAGAAATCAGTGCTTTGTAAATTCTGACACCAAAATCTCTCTGAAGCATTTCATTGAAGAGTTCTGCAAACAATGATACCTGCATATAAAGAAAGAAAAGAGTAGTGACAAAAGGTTTTAAAATATGTATTAAAAATTTATATAATCATGATAAAACAGCTATGATGTGCAATTTTAGCAACTTACACCCTATCAGAATTTTATGAAGTGTCAGATTTCTTACACTCTGCTTTGAACATGCTTAAACAACTTTACAAATTCCATTCAATATCTGCAAACCTGTGTATTCCTCTGGACACCGTGCAGTGAGTACACTCCTGTTGTACCAAAGCAATTCAGAAATTTTCACACGACAATTACAAAGAAACAGGAACAGCCAACTGGCAGCAGCACTGCAGTGTTACCTCAAAGGAATGCTCCTTGTTGTCCTCCAGCCTGTAGTCCAGCAGGACGCTCAGGGACATGATGCTGCAGTCAAACTTGCCGCTCTTGGCTGCCCAGTTGGGGTGCACGATGATGGCCGGCTCGTCCGGCAGGATGTAGCGCCGCTCCCGCCGCTGGCGTTCCAGCTCCTCCTGCCGCTTTCTTTCCTCCTCCTGAAAGGGACCAAAACCCAACGTGGAGCAGACTCCAAAGCTGAAGTTTCACCCCTACATTCGTTTTTGGGACTCGCTGCTTTCCTGAGCAAAGGGAAGCCTAAGCTGCTGAAAGTAAACAGCACAGCGAGCTGTTTACTCCTCCCAGAGGAGTCAACCTTCATACCTCACCTCTCCAAAGACACCCAACACAGCCCTAACAGTTACCGCATGACAATTTATCTAACTTTTGATCATGGAAATGCAATCTCTATAGATATATCTGATGCAAATGAAACAAAATGTAAAATTCCACCATCTTACTGATTTGCCAAGAGACAAATACTGAAGTCTCCTGACTACAAAAAAAGTCAAGGCAGAGCTTGTGCTTCATAAAAAGCCAGCACAATCACAGCTCCCCTTCACTCCTAAAGAAAGCTGTGGCAAGAAACCCAAGCTAGTTGAACGCCATCCAAGCTGTGGGAGGAGGCAGCAGCAGCTGACAGAATTAGCAAGCACATGGCCCTTCCTCCCTCAACAAGGTTTACAGGGATGTATAAAAAGATAGACTTTCAATCACCCCATACAGGTTAGCAGGTAACATACAAAAAGGCAGGTTTAAAAGCAAGTAAAGCACAAGCCATTCTCTAGACATTTCTGCCCCCTTTCTGTGGTTGAGCTTTGGCCTTATTGCACAGATTTTGTTAATTTTTGTGAACTAGCAAACCAGACTAGGCACGGCAACTACAAACCACAAAACTGAGAAACTCCAATATACAGTAAGTATCCAAAAGCAAAGATTAAAGCTTTGCAATAGGGGAAAACAAACCAAAGCCACACGAAGAAGCTGGACTGTGAGACACAGAGGCTAACAGAACTAAGCAACTGCTTTTCATGTAGGTTTAAGGAGTTAAAGTATTGTTAATGTGTTCACTCATCTTGAGCATGGCTTTTCTCAGGAGGCTTGGATTTATTTTTCCTTAGATTTAAGGTCAAACATTAATTCAGATGCCTTTAATGCAGTGGCACATTTGAGCTGATTTGGCTGATACAAAGTAATTCAAACTGGCCAAGAGTTCTCCCCAATTCAGCAGCTTAAGGTACATCAAGAGTTCCCAGTACAGTCACCTGAGAACAACAAAATCCCAGCAGAAGTAGGCACATGCCTCTGCTTTTTATGCTTATACATATTTATACCAATATTTCATATATTTAATATATACACAGGACTTAAACCAAGTATGTCCAAATCCTAACCTCTTTATCTTCTTCAGATTTCCTATCCTCCTCCTCTTCCTCTTCTTTCTCAGACTTCTCTAGCTCCTTTTGCTCTTCTTTTTGTTCCTCGACTTTCAGCTGCTTTGTCAGTCGAGCTATCAGCTGAGATTTCAGTCCCTTAGGGCTAAGGGTTCGACTTTCTAATTCTTTGCGAAGGTCATTTACCTGGCAAATAAAAGCTTTGTGAGTGGTACCCAGCAGTGACATCACAACACATTGGATTAGTAGAGAAAGTGAGCTAAAAACCAACAGCACTGAAAAGTCAACTCTACTTTTTAAACATGTGCTGAAAACCACTAATTATTGATACAAAAAAATCTATTGCATTTAAATTGATATTTTCCACAAAAAACTTCTGAGGAACTTTTCACAGAGGCAGGGAAAGTAAAATAGTTTATTATCACTACTGCTTTCCAGGAAACTTTTTATGATGTAAGGAACTTTTCACAGAGGCAGGGAAAGGATTCAGTTAAAGTACAATAGTTTATTATCACTACTGCTTTCCAGGAAACTTTTTATGATGTCTCCTGACATGGTTAAAAAAGGCAGTAATGGTACAAATATGTACAATTTTTAAAGTATTTTAGACCCCACATTTCTTAACCTAAGTAGTAACCTGGCAGATTACAGCAGAACTCTTGTTTTCCAGTTCATGTATCATAGGTGATATTCTTTAATTGTAGAAAGTTCAGAGTAGATTTAATCAGCTGTATTCACTTTCTACAACCAGGAGTCATCCCTGCATACTGTGATACTACATCTGGCACCTATAAATTCAGCAAAACACTACTGAAGTTTTCTTGCTCAGTTAAAGAAGCATACAGCTACATTTCAGGTCACGTCTTAAAAGTGAAAAAATACAATGGAATCAAATTTTCCGAAGTGTTTGTTACCTTCATTGTTTTTGGATCCAGTTTAGACCAGTGTGTAGGCGTAGAGATCTCTTTAGCTTCCCCATCATCCTTTTCCTCTTCATCCTGACAAACAAAATTTCAAAATTATCATTCAGAAAGCTTGAAAGCATTTCAGTTATTTTTAAAATTCTGTTGCTGATCTGTGCAAGGTCACAACTGTTTCAGATAGTCTTCTCCTAAAGTTATTATTTAGACAAGTTCACACACACATTCTACCACTTTATAAATGATCACAGTGCCACTCAGCCAATACAAGCCAGATCTGTGGAACACAAAAGGGTGATAAGCAACACCACAAAGGATATTGGGGTTACACAGACACTGCTGGTCTCCAGTAACCACACAGTGGGTGATCTTCCCCCACATTTTAAATCCCCCAAATTACTCTTTGTTCAGTCAGACCTTCCCTTACTCCAAGATGCTGATCAGCCACATGGCCTGAAATTCAGATGTTTCAGACTAATGTTTGTTCAATTTCAAATATCACAATTAGAACTGGCCACAAGAGAGAATTTAGAAATTTCAGAAAATGGCAAAATGTTTGAAGACAGCTATTCATAAACTGAATCTCACTCAACAACTGGTCCCAGATTCCAGCAACTACGTCTACGATAAAAATTTTCTGCGCATCATAAGCACAATTTAATTCCATTTGTGATATCAGCATACACATTTAAAGTTAGTGAACTAGCTGAAATAAAAATAAAAAGCAACATTCACTACACTGCTGAAAGCTGGTTTACCAGTCATTGTTACCAGTTATGTTCCTCCTGTGTATGTGTGTTGTGTAGTATGTGGTGTGCATTTTGTGCCTGTGTTCCTGTGCCTGTGAGAAGCAGAAATAGAAAAAGGGATTAGCGTTCAGTGCCTGTTCTCCATCAGCCTCCTTGCGTTCACCCTGAAGCTTCTCGACCAGCTGCTGCTTGTATCCTCGGGAGAGGGTTTCCCACTCTGAGCGGGTGGGAAGGCAATGCCAAACATCCGGGAAAAATAAAACCACTGTCTCCACATGAGCTGGAACTGTACGCCCCTTGTGGGTCTCCTCAGGGCGATGGTAGCGAATCTCTGCAAAACGGTACCTGTTGCAAGGGAAGAAGCATGTTGGAAAAAAAATTCTACAATACATTTTAAAGAGCCTAGATCACTTGTAGCACATCAAGTAAAGAAATTTTGCTGCAAGACCTTGAGGTTTATCTAAAGAAAAAAATTATGGAAGCCATATTTTCTCTTCTGGCACACTTGTAAAAAGGTGGCAACTGAAAAGGAGGAAAATCAACAAAATGCTTTTCATAAAACTCGTTGTTTAGCCCAAGCAGGTTTTATGTGCAAATAGAAGTTGTTGAAGAACTTCAAATTTAGCATACAACAGGCTTTCCTGGTATTGGTACAACCACGGTGAATGTTAATGCAGGACAAAAACTCACCAAGAGAAAATATGGCTGTATAACAAACGGCTATTTATTTATAACAAAAGAATAATGAAATGAAGTTCTCTTGACGATCCTCTCCAGCTATGCACAAAATGAAAAATATTTTCAATGCACATTCATTCAAAAAATTACAGTATAACATGTCAAAATAAACCCAGAATTTTTAATTAGTTCTTAATGCAGTATTCAGCACAGTTGGCACCAATCAAGCTGATTACCAAACAGAACATCCTTTGAGTAGTTCACCTGAACTACTAAGAGCAGTTGACAAAGAAAAAAGGGTTTTTCCAGCCTCCTTTTTTTTTTTTTTTTTAAGTCCTGGTAACAGACAAGTATTTATTTCTACAGAGTACTTGGCTTTGCAGTGCAGTACTTACCATTGCGTGCACACACTTAAGTCAATCCCTGTAAGAGCCTTGCAACAGCGAATTGCCGTCTTTATCAGCACCGAAGGGTCCTTTTCTGGATCAGGTCCATCCAGTGAGGGGGACCAGTGTCCTCCAATAGCCATAGCTTCATCTTTGCCTTTCATACCCACTAAAAACTAGACAAAAAGAGTCTTCTGAATGTTCCCCTGCTAGGGGTAAAAGGTCATTTTCCCAAAGTGCAAAGAATATTTCATAGCACACACAATGAAATCCGTGAGTAAACTGTGAAATTATTTTGAAATCTGAAAATGAAAATCAGTCAAGAAAGAGTTCAGTTTTTTTTTTCCACAGACTGTTTCAGCAATGGAATAGGTTTAAAACATCATCACTCATTCTTGCTTTCAAGATTTTCCATCAAGTTCATTTATTGGTATAGGCTTGGCCCTTTGCAATTAGAAGGTTTCTAACCCAAAAGACAGACAGTAACTTAAATGGTGTCTTAACTCTGATACACATTTACAGATGTGCCTGCTTAGAAGTGAAGAAGAAAAGCTACACAAGGTGAGACCACAAGAGCATCATACCTATAAGTGAAAGTATTCCCATCTATTGCAAGTTAGAATTTAACTGGAGAACAAGTCTGTCGTCCTGAAACACCACAGCACTTACAGCTTGCTCAGTTTAATGGTTAAGTTTCACTTAACGGCTGCTTAACTGTTGCTTCATGTGTATTCTCTTCACAGCTGAGCCCTTACAAAATCAGTAAGTGCTTGTAAAAAGCAGCTAACAAAGTGAATTATTTTAGTTTAACTAAGTGGAACAAAGCAGTAAATGTGAAGCTCCTATAAAGTGGAAAAAGAACTGACATATAAACTAGGTCTCTTCAGAGGAAAAATGAAGTCATCATTCAGCTGTCTACAAGCTCCTCTCTTGTTGTCAAAAATGGCAAAGCTCTATAACCAACCTTTATTGCCAAAAGTGTCTGGCATGGAAGCATATTTACCTTTACAAGTCTAGCAGGATGCTGAAATCCATCACGAAGTTCTTGGGGATCCTCAGCCAGAGCACATGACTTGTGGTAGAGATCTTCCATGCTAGGACTAGCCATCAACATCACCTGTGGTGCAAGTCAGAGCAGTTGTGGTGGAAGTCTCACTACCACTGATAAACAACGACCACAACTTGCAAACACACATACCAAAGCTCAACAAGGCTGCTCTATACCCCAAACAGCTGTATGATAAAACAGGAGGCTCCTTCTCAGTTACTGTGTTTTAAAGCTCAGCATTCTGAAGGGCAGCTCTTGCTCTGCATGTCTGATACTTGAGCTTCATGGTATTTGTACACAGAAGGTGAGTAAGTTAAGCCTCTCCCTTTGTGAATGTCAAAATATGCATCAAGAGCCGTAATCATAGATAAAAGACCCCTTTATCAAAACATTTTCCAAAAACCTGTTCCATTTCAAGTCTGTCACTAAAATAGGTCTGAGATTTTGCCAATCTGTGTTAGAAGTATTACATGTTAAAGACCGATCTCAATCTACTTCAAACAAAACAATAAATATTGAGATGAATAGGAAAGAAGGAAAGAAAATACCACTAAACAGAATAACAAACAAACTGCACAGAAAGAGTTCAGTTATTTTTTTCCACAGACTGTTTCAGCAATGGAATAGGTTTAAAACATCATCACTCATTCTTGCATCAAGTTTGTATTGAAGGAATAAAAAGGACTACATTAACTACTCAAAATGAATTGCCTAAGAAATCATTCAGAGACCTTGCAGGAACTGGCTTTCTTTTCCTATAATCACATCACTGCAACTGAGTGCAGACAATGGAAGAGCCCTCTGTAAACACAAATTTAGCACAGTTCTAGTAACAGAAAAACAAACTGAATTCCAGTTGTGATTCTTTAAGCTCTATGTACTAGCTTTTTACTGAAAAGTTTAAAACACTGTACTTTGCTCAAAATGACTGCAGAATGTCTTCAGTTCTGTTATACCCAGTTTTGCACCCTACTGATAAAAATATTTCTAATGAATAGTGGTATCAGTGGAAAAGCATACAAACCTTAGCACTGTAGAGATGATCAGCATCAGGTGGATCAAGGACAGCAGCGTTCTTATCTATGGGATCTACTTCTCTATGCATTACATAGAAATTACAGTAGTTTCCCAGCTGAAATGGTCTAGACATAGGGAAAGCATCCACCCACGTGAACTGCGCATCAAAGAAGTCGCTGGGGATATACAAGTTCTGGTAACGCCTCCTCAGCTCCATCATATCACAGCTCCGGCTGAAAGACACGCAGTAAAGATACAGCAGTTAAGAGCTATTAACCAAGTACATCATCAAGAGATATATTAATTGGCAATACAACCACGTATGTTTGATGCTGTATATATAAAATCTCAATAACATTTGGTTTGAATGTCACGGATGAAGTTTTTAAAAAAGTAACTATTAACCACTTCCAACTCAGGTGTCTGCATTTAGGGAATGTTCACTGAACAACACTACAAAGCTGTTTTGCAGTAGCATTCTAAACTAACACAGAACCTCCAACAAGTTCATCATACAAGGTTCTTAGCCATTCCATACTTGACCCCTCTGTGCAGTCAGGATCATCATCCAACGCCCACTTACACACACACGTGGGCTGACACGGCTCACAGCAGCTGCACCATGACTAAGTGAACTGCAGGGAAACACCTGGCACTACAGACATACCAGTCCAAGGAGAACTTGGAGAACTGCACGGTGTAGCGAGGGACGACGCGCCGCGGTCTGCGCGGGGACCTCTCCCTCTCGCGCCGCGGTGATCGCTCTCGGGAGCGCTTCCTCTGCGGAGACCTCTCCCGGGACCTGCGCCTCTCCCGCTCCCTTTCGCGACTTAAAGAACACACACAAAATGCAAATATTTTTGCAGGCTGGAAACATGAAATGATTTCTGGCACAACAGAAGCCAGACCTGTCAGAGACAACTCAAAAAAGGGAAGTTTCAGAACAGCCTCTTTACATGAGAAACTGATTACATAACTCCTTACTTTCAGGTAGATAAGAACTCTACCATAATTCCTAAGGATAACACCCCTTGTGGTCTTGCTGACCCACTCTGGAGCAAGCAGCTCAGCTCTGGGTGAGGAAAGGTCTTTATGGAATGCTTGGATCACAGTCTGGTCTACATACCTCCTGTCATCTTTTCGGTTTGGCATAGGGTCTCCACCTCGGTCATTCCTCCCAGAAAACCTGGATGGTGGGTCTAGTCTTCGAGCTGGCTGTGGCTGTGAAACCAGGCGGACTGGGGGCTGCAGCAAACCACCTGAAACAGAACGTACAGCATCAATACAGAGCAGGGGCAACTACCTACACCTGGCAAACACTGCTGCTTACAGCTGCTTCACTTGTGTACATTTTCTAACCTAACTCAACAATGGATAAATTTGACTGTAAACACCCACACAAAGAAACTCAAGAGACCTAAGCTTTTCTGCACTGAGGCAAACTGACACTCTTTAATAAACTGACACACTTTAGTAAAGTGAACTTGGTTTAAAAGCATCTTCTTGAGATGGAAGCTAATATAACCTAAGCACATAGAATTCATCTTAACAGCTAAGCCTTTTCAAAACCTTAAGTTATAGACATACTACCTACTCACTGAAGGAAAACTGAAATCCTCATTTTAAGGTTTTTCATACATAAAAATAAAAAAAATATTGCTAAATCAATGTATCATATTGCTACATCAATCCCTCAGCACATAATTTCTTTGCCTTGAGATATTTAACCAAGTGATTTAAGTGGAGCAAACATTACTAAACTCCAACGAACAACTACAACTAATTAAACTGTAGTAAGCATTTATGCAAAACAATTCTGCTACGGTTTTCTGCCCTTGTTCTTACTGTGTAAGACCAGTCCTAATATTATCACTTCTATCACTGATTCCTTAGCCACTCAAAGTTTGAGAGACATTCACAACCTTTGTTTTACATTTGCCATGTCTGGCAGTGCTTCTCTCAGATGCCAACCTGGCTAACTGAAACTAATAAGCTAAGGAACAATGGCTTTAACAACACAACTGCAAAACCTGATTTTGTGGAAAACTGCAGAAGATGCTGAAGGACTGCACTGCTATTAATACTCTCAACTCCCCAGCTTGTCTGAGAAAGAACAAAAACTACATTGAATGTGTTTTCAGATTACAAAATCTTAACATGAACAGGAGTCCATGGGGACTTCACTAACCAGGTGATTTCTGAGCTACTGCAGGCAATGTGCCTTGCACACAGCTGCAGGGAGACATATTCAATCTGAAAAAACAGCAGAGTCTGCTCCATAATATTTCAGCTATTACTTCCACCTTCTGATTAACAAGAAAATAACCATCACCAGAAATAGGAATCTCCTCGAGCCAGGTCTCATAAGCTCTTGGAGATCTATTTCTCACCCAAGATAGCTCAGCTACCTTAGAAGACATAAAATCATCAGGATGGCTTCTGTGGTAGTGTTGGAAACAAAGAAGTTGTAATAAAAGGCAAAATAACAAATCTCTCTACAGAGAAACAATGAGCCAGGTGCAAGAGTCCTTGCCCCTGGTAGAACACCTCACAAAAGCAATTAGTTTCTTTGTTCTCTTTTTTTTCTAGTCAATTACTCAGGCTGGACTTTTTGGATCGTGTCTAATTGGCTATCCTTAAGGTTGAGGTGAAGTCCTGGGTCCTATGAGACGCCTTTTCACCTAACTGAGGAGACAAACTTCTGGGCTTATTTCCTTTTTAAGGGGACAAAGAATAATTTTGTCACTCCATCAACAGGGGGGCACATCCCTACAACCACCCAGTGAGCACCAGAGTCACCCCCAAAAAGTGTCACTGAAGGAGCACCTTTCTGCTGCGGCTGCTGCAGCAGCGGCTGAGGCTGTGTCTGGAGCAGAGGCGTGATGGAGGCTGCAGAGATCTGTGCCTGCAGCAGGGACTGCGGCTGCGGCTGCGCCTGCACGCCGAAGGTCTGCTGCGCGATGGGCTGCAGGACGGCCGGCGGCGTCTTCAGCAGCGGCTGCGCCTGGCTCTGGTTCTGGGGAGACACGGCAGTGAGGAAGGAGAGCTCCACCCCACCAGCCCTGCCCGGCACCTACAGCCCCACCCACCTGGTTGGGCAGCGTCTGGATCCTTTGGGCGTTCCATTTGAACGGCATGTTGGGGTTGTAAGTAGCTTCTACCAGAACTCTGTCACCCACCTGAGGTGTCTTGCCTTTAACAGCGCTGCAAACGTGACAGAAAATGTATGTGAGAGGATTCTTTAGGATTCCTTTTACTGAGGATTCTTCTTCTCAGTAAGAATCAGACAGGTTTTTTGCATGTTGCATTTAAAGATGGGAGAAAGT